ATTAGTTATATATAATAACTAAAAATTAGTCTCAACTTCGCGGGTTATCATTTATATATGTATTGCATATATTGCGTGTCTCATGGTTTGACAATGAAACATACTCTCTGATTCAATTTAGTATGGTGGAAAAATAAACTACTAATTACTGATTATACCGTGCTGCACGGGGCGGTAATATATATCTGAGGAACTTCGACTTTGGTATGACGAAATGTTACAGAACTAGACTTTTGGAGCGTGCAGCAAGACTTTTAAATCACTTAAGAGTCTTCACTCTCGCTACATCAGTTGCATTATATGCATACGGACCCACCGGGTGTCGCTAGTCGATAACCAGCTTTGGTTCCTCGCGGCTTCCCTTCCTTAGTTGAAATGGGTGATTATCTTTTTTTCCCCGTATTTTATGCAAAACTGCCTTTTTCACTGGTTTGAAAAAATAAACTTGACTTTTCACCGATGCAAAGGCATAGAAGAAGGATAAATGATTTGTCCCACCGAAACCCAATTAATATAAAATTATTTATTGCCTTCTTAATTTTCAGGTCATTGCAAATTTGAATACAATTCCAAATGCTTCCAAGCATTCGTGTACCCTTCCTACAACGTTAGTCTTGAACACGCTAAAGAACTTTGCAAAGCGGCCGGAGGAGCACAACTCGCCAACATTTATGATGTGGAACATTTCCGTTCAATGATGGCTTATCTACGTACAACATTTGAGCTTGAGTATAGATCTATTTGGACAGGAATTGGATATCAGGTCAGTAATTAGCTCTACTAATTGAGATTTTACCGGGATTTTACGGCCCTGGCGTATGTGTAGCCACTTTATTTCTTGGAACACCAAAATAACCTAATACATGTGAAAATATTGAAAAACAAATTAAATAATACTAATAAAACATAATAACTTTCGAAATTCGATTTCACGGAATTTATAATTGTAATTTCAGTATTAATTAGTCTTATTTTTCACTATTTTTACAGGAATTAAGTTATTTTGATGTTTCAAAAATTAAAGTGGCTGCATATGTGCCTACATATCTTGGCACGGTACTTCATAGATTGGTTGATAGAATGAATAAGGGCAGTAAGAGATTTTACCAACTTGCAATTAATTATTGAAATTTCACGAATCCGACATAACAAAAAATTTATCACGAAAGCCCTTTAGAATTCGAGGTCATACTCAACGGACGATCACCGTATTTCCCGGCGAATAATTCTACCCGGTCAATAAGACGAGGCCCGTTTTTAAGCATAAAAAAATGGGTTTCGCATATAACCTGCCAATAAGTCGGGGTAGTAAAATCGCATCAACATCGGAATCTTAAATTACCATGCAATGCCTTTTAAGCGATCGCCGCGTTTGCGCATTGGTTAAAATAGCCTATATTGGCGTTTACTTGTAGAAATATTCAATCCATAATAACTACGAGAATTCAAACTCTCTTTAAATTTTAATCTAATTGTGTTCAACTCGCGATTGCGTCCACAATAGACGAACATTACCTAATACATAATGAGGCGACACCAAAACATAAAATTATCATACTCGCCCAATAAAACGACCCCCCCCCCCCAAAAAAAAATCAGGCCAAAAATTTGGGTCTAGAAAAGCGACTGATACGCCGGGAAATACGGTAATTGGCGCCCTCCGGCTGCCTTTTCTAAACCATATCTTGAACATTTGTTTCTTTAATGAACGCCATATAATATCGGGCTAATAACACCGTTATATTATAAAGCAATGACGGAACGTGGCCGAGGCTGTTAAATGTACCCTTTGTGTCGATATCGATCGGGACTGGGCAAATACCGACTGGAACCCCAGGAGTGATATATCCTGAACCGGGAAGAATCTGGCCTTCAAATAACATGAACCTTCATTCATATTTTACCAGATTATGACAGTTTATGTGTCTAGCAGGGGTGGGCGAGATTTTTGAACCAGGAACCAAAAATTTTGTCCACCTAATCTAGCGCGCCATGTAAGTGTGACGTGAAATTTTTTATATCATGAACAATATTTACAGTGTTGCAGAGCAAAAGTGGAAAACAATGAGCCTCGTGCCGAAACTAAATTTAACCGCAGTCTCAACAAATTCCTTGAGCTATTTTTAGCTAAAACATCAAAATTTTGTTTCAGTTTAGCTGTGGCAGCATCAGGCGGGCCAGATTGAATTACCCAGCAGTTCGGATTTGTCCCGCGGGCTGTAGTTTGCCCATGCCAGGTCTAGATATATATTGCCATCGCAGTTCATAAAACCTCCCTCCACTCATACCATGGCTGCTTTTCAAGTAACTTGTTAACAAAGAAGGCGTAAAACATCTTTTGAATTTAGTACGTTTTCAAAGTAATCTCAAATAATATTTTTTACAGAATTCGAACGGCGAAACTCATTCTACAACTGGGGAAACTATAACACTACCTGACGAGGTTTGGTATAATCGTTTTCCGTTCAATTCGAATTCTCACAATCAAATTACAATCGAAGCTAATAAGAATATACAATTATCAAGGACTCAAAAATTCTTTTTACCATTGGTGCAGTCTGCGAAATTTGAAACCGGATTGAAAATTTTGCTCAGTGGGAACTTTTATCAAAGAAATGTTTTTACTAGCAAATCAACACACACACCTTGGAGCTTTTGTACAAAGCCCGCGCCACTAAGGCAAAATTTGAGGGAAAAACGCCACATTTTAAAATAACCAATTATTTAATATTATACAGTTAGGCTTAGGAATGATTTGAAATTTTGAATTTCCAGCTCAATCTGCATTCTTATACCTAACTGAATAATTACCAGGCATGTCCATTGGGGACATATTTTTTTTTGTCCCATTCCCATCCCATAGGATTCACATTGGAATAAAATTCAATAATAATTGGTAATACAGACTTTGCCAATTTTATATTCATAACTGTTATACATGTGTCCATCAGTCCATTCACGAAGTCTATTTTTAATGCTGAATATATTTTGCTCTTTATAACTAACGTGAGAGCAATGCTCAAATATATGGACACGAAATCTATAACATAATGTTTACCATCATTTTCCGAAAATCATACGATTTTCGTGTCCCATGGGAAATACAACTTTGTGCTGTCCCATCCCATTCCCATGGATAACCCTGTTTTTAAGCGTTTTCTTTGGTGGGGGATTTGTACAAAAGATCCGCATATATTCTTAAAGGTGGGTTATCACGGAACATTTTTTTGGTTGAATTTTATTCTACAAATTTTTTTAGAATTTTCAACGCTTTCCGTTTACATAAAATCGACTTAATTTTCGAGATTCGAATTTTTAAAAACCGCATCAGCAAAAATCGACTCAAGTTCGGACGCGGCCTCTGATGACGTAGTAGTGAGAACTCATTCCAGATTTTGTAGTCACGTCGTATGTACCGCGATTTACCGCTGATTTCTATATTTAATTCCATTTCTTTTTCGCGAAGTTTGATTTATAGTTGAACAGTATTGCGGTATAGAACAGAAATGTACAGCTGTGGGATTCCCATGTAGTCAGGCGCCCAAGAGATGATGCTGTATGTTACAAACGCATCGCTGGTAGAGTACGGTAGGCTTTCATTTTTATAATTCAAATTGTTTCATGTGATATTTATCTAAGACACAGTTTTTTCAAATTGTTATTTATAGCAACTTGTACAAGTTCACATTAAGGGTTTTTAATCATAAAATCAAATACGTATAAACAATTTGAAACAAAGATGAGTGGCAGCGAATATGAGAGCAGTAATGAGGAGGATGAGATGTATATTGCAGCTGCAGGTGGTGTGGGGGGGTTCATGTACGAACCTGAATATACTGCTGAAGAGCTTACTGCACTGGAAGTCAGTAGCACTGAAAAAGAGCTGCATCATGAACGTCTGGGCAATACAGATTGGTAAGTTGATAATTACAGTAGGCTACCGTACTACAATAAGTGTTGGTAATCTTCTACTACAGTAGTAATAGTTTGATAAAAAGTCTTACATACAGAATCAGTTAAACATAACTTGAATAATCATATTCCAATAAAGCAGTATTCCATTTTATCCATACCATTCTAGCGCACTTGTTTTTGCAGGTGTTTTTGTTCACACTGCTCTGAACAATCCAATCCAGCATCATGCATTTGTTGTCATGAAGCCCCAGCAGTCCAAAGAGTTTTGGAACGTTTGGCTACGCAGCATGGAATTGAGGTTCAATGCATTGTTGATCATCCTGGATTTGAACCAATATGCCTTAATGTTAATATTCTTGAAGCCACTTACCAAAGATCTGGGGCAAAATCAGTGCAGCTCCAAATGAGTAAGTTTATGTTACGTTTAAATATGTTTATCTGTCATTTCTTTCGATCTTATTGGTTGTATTTTTTCAGGCGTAACCGTTACACTTCCTACCGATCATTCGTGGAGTGGTGTTGGGGCAGGGTAGGAAGAAAGATAAGATTTCCACTCCCATCTTGTGTGGTTGTGAAGATAAGAGAACATTTTGAATCCCCCTCATACACAGGATTTCAACCACCTTCACCTTAGAAAGAGTTTTCTCAGCGAACTGCATGAAAAAGGGCCCTTTTTAGGGCCAACCCAATATTTATAACAAGAGGCGTTGAAACAATGGAGATTTCAGATAAAAAAACTTATTGGCACAAAATAATTACCAGAAAATCAGAAGATGAAACAATTGATGAAAAATAAACCAAGAAGGGCGAACGGATAAATTGCATTTGAAGAACTATGGGCTGTGGAGCCGAGGTTGACATGTTTTTTTGACCTTTGGATACGAATTTTAAACTTAAATGGCCTAATTTGCAGAGATTAGTCTCTCTTTTCATTTTAACTTCTTAATAGTGATAACAATTTACATTTGAATTTTCTAAAACTACAAAAGCTTGCATAAGCCAAATTTGATTTTCTGAAAAGTTAGAGCCGAAATTGCTTGCGTGAATTTTTTTCGGCTCCACAGCCCTAGTTGTCAATACTTTAACTATTTAAAACGGCTTTGCAGCTCCTGTTTTGCGAGCTCCTTATCTGGCCTCTCACACCTGGAAGACAAGGTTGGTGGTGGTGATGATATCAGTGACAGATCACCCTGGCTTGTGGTTGAACTGCCATCAACCTCTGAAATAACTTTCTGAAGCAAGACTTTCACACATGCTGTGAAAAAGATAAGTGAATCACTTATACTTCTGTTTTTCAAGTCGAACGTTTTATATTTTACGGACTCACCATAACACGGCTCAGAGCGTACTCTTCGAACAGTGTGCTGTCCCATATTGGAATATTTATGGAACTCACCTGCAGAAAATTCCTTTGTAACCATACGACAGCATCTTGGGAGCAAAATGGTTCAATAGGGAGTGGAACCCTTCCAATCCAGATGTCTGATCTAATGGTGAGAGCTTTCGGATGTCTTTTTGAACCTAAAGTTATCGAAAAGACTCTCCAATTCATCATACGCTCTCTGTCCTATTAAAAAAGTGATATATAAGACAAACCGCAATCACCAAAAACTTTACAGTATTTTTACTGGATCGTGATCCATTAAAACTCTTGTATTATTTACTACCTGGAAAAATCCATTTCTTCCTTTTTTCCTCCTCATCACCTAAAGGTGCATGTTGACATTCCCATGTATAGGTTCCCATGTCCTGTGTGAACATTTTCGGATGTGACGAAGTAGGCTCATGACTTTCTGCTCAACCATGTCACCATCGCCCCCCGAGCTACCCGCCGACCAGTACCAAATGGTTAATAATTACTCCGCCTCCACTCTTGCAGTATGCCACAATCAGTAAGTTTAGCCTTTGAGTCAATCTTTTTACCAAGACCTTCAAAAATTTGAAATGCAATATATAAGATTTTTGAAACATTAATTTTATGCCAACTGAGTCCAGAAATTTAAAATATGGCACTGATGAAATAAAAAAAAAATAACCTTTGGCAATGTGCCAAATGTCAAAAAAATGCTTCGTCCCAGATTCTCACAAACCCATTTCGTCACAGATGGGTGTCTATCTGTTATCAGTTCGCCAATTCTTATTCCCTCTTCTAAAAGTGCATCTATACCTCTCTTTAAACCCTCCAACTCCATATGGTTACTGCTCGTAACTTCATTTTTCTAATAACGAATAGTAAACATTGATATGAAAACAGAAATTATGTTGATTTTGGATATACACTACAACTTACCTGAATGAGTTTCATATCAATTATTTCATTTGTTTTTAGGTCCATGATAGTGTAGCATCCAAATTTGGCAGAATGACCTCGGCTATCAGCCCTGCCATCACAACCTATAGTCAATGGCATGCCCCTCCTCTCCGCCAGCAATGCCGCTCTTTGTTCAACCCAGGATGCAACAATCACCGGCTGCAAGTATTTATCCTGGTGTCGTTGATATGTACTGAATAGGAAATGTCAAAGACTATAATGTTATGGACAGCAATAAATTAATTTGTCTAATTCAATATTTCACTGATAAATATTCCATTTTTGTTATGAATATGAAAAATACATATTACCTAACAAATTGTTTGTAATAAAAATGTACCTGTATGCGATGGTTCTTATGCCTGAGTTACAAAGCGATCGTACTTTTTTGGGACAAACTCCTCCAAACAAAATGGAAGCAGACAAGAGGATGTTTCCCTCTGATATACCACCAATGGAATCCTGGCTTTCCCAATGCCGATTATACCCACACTGGCAACAAATGGCTTGGATTACCACCATGGTTCCAACCACCCTTTCTACATCGACGGCACAAATTCCTGAGCACTTTTCACAACTAGCAAAGAGTTGCAAAAGCTTATGTCGGCTAACGATGTATTTTTCCTTTACAGTTTCGTACGACTCTCCTTCTCTAGAAATTAATTAAAAGTTAAATGAAAATGTCTATAAAATTTGCCTCCAAGGATTGATACTTACGCACTGCATGACTCATCTGAAACACTAATCAAGTCAGAGCTACTGTCTGTACTTGAGTCGTCATCCATTTCAGAAATCGAGTCGGAGTCGACAACCATGTTTTGCTCCTGTGATTTGAACAGCTGCAATGGAGGTGCAGCTATCAAATCACATTGCAAGCCGACTGATCTTGATTGGATGCTGGATTGGCATGCTGCAACAGATATTTAATAATTAGAAAGAAGCATCTCCACAATAATATATAACCTGAATATATGTCTAGTTCTGAACCTTTACTGTAGTTTCCACGTCTCTGTAAAGTCTGAGTTTGCTTAGACTGCTGTGTAACTGTCTGAAATGGCAACAGTTTAACAATTTATCTCTAAACTGTTTGACAAAATAAACTGCAATGAATGCTTTTCAACAGGGGTGATAACTTTTTTGTGGCTTTGGAGCCAGGCCACACAAAAGGGGCCAGGCCACGGAGAAAATGGGGCCAGGCCACGGAGAAAATGGGGCCAGGCCACGGAGAAAATGGGGCCAGGCCACGGACAAATTGGGGCCAGGCCACGGAGAAAATGGGGCCAGGCCTCAGAATATTTGGGGCCAGGCCAGCGCAATGGTAATGTTAAGACATCCGTATTTGTTTAGTTATATTTTTGTTTATAAGTAATGTGGAAACTGGTAATGTTAAGACATGTACGGTACTTGTACAATTGAACCGTATCGTATGTTACAACCAGGGAAAATGCTGTATTCGAACACTTACTCATTACAAATGTAGAGGTATAAGTTTATTTCGACTCCATAATCAGCAATAGACGATAAAATAATAGATAAAAACAAATGATAAAGTAACTGATTATAGAATCGGGAAAGCAAACAAAACCTCAAGTAAAGTTTGAAGCCTACATATTTCAGATAGAAAGGTATTGATAAAAGAAGTAGTACGTGTTCGCTCACCCAATGTATTACGGTACTTATGTGAGGGGGTATATTGCGAGCGATACATTATTGTAGTGTTTCTACTGGTCACCGTATCTATACATTTATATTCCTCACCGCATTCATTGTCTTTTTACTGTAGCGTGAACTGGTGCCTATATGTTAACAAAAAACTCAGTGAAATAAGTTATATTGGCGGCGCGGCGGTGTGGCTCAACGGGCTAAGCGTTAGGAATACGCTCGCCACCGCACCTCTAATTACTCTGCGTGGGTTCGCAGGTTCGAATCCCATGCAGGGATGGTTATGTGCGAGAGGATTGCTGGACTCCTCGCCGTCGTTGGGTGGTTCACGTAACCGCTGGTCGGTTACGGCTTCCTCCACCACCAAGTCCATGCTTCCGAAAAACAAACAATACAGTAAAAACTAATCCCATACCCGACTTGGAATGGTAACCGGACGAGAGGCCGTGGTTCGCCATATGGATAAGCCGTCTTATCGGCTTTCCTCTCCCCCGGGATAAATATGTAAATCCTATCCTATCCTATCCTATTTATTGCTTGTTGCATACCTTTTTGTGATTGTTAATTTTTTTTAGCGAATATGTGTTGTTATTTAATTATTTTCATACAATACATGGTTAATAGATCAGTGAATAATTCCACCAGTGACTCAAATGCTATTATTAAATGAAGTCCGTACTGATAAATTGTGTAGTTCTACCTGTATTGCATAGGCAATTGACAGGGGTTTACACGCTAAGATGTTTTAGATTTGTAATACAAATTGCAGGCACAACATATCGGTAGCTGGTATAAGCTATCACAACCACTAGTATCCCAATACTCAACATGCAAAAAAGACTACTCTTCTCCGTTATACATTATCCCTAACAGAAAACAAGATCCATGCATACCAGTTGATTAACTGTTTCATTTATTGAAAAATATGCAAAAAAAAATTGCAAACACCAGATTGGCAGGATTCCAACATACTCTTTTTTAAAATAAGATTCATCTTCGAGGGAGTCCTTTTTGTTAGCATCTTAAGACTTTCCTATTACCGATAATTACTTCAATTATATTCAGCGTAATGAATATCAGGGATAAATGTTCAATCATAAGACTGTTTTTTCAATATAAGTCATCATAGATATATCGGAAAAGTAACAGTAGTACAAACGCATATTAGATAATCATAAGCAAGGAAATTGTAAGACTCTTTTGACTGGAACTGGTTTAGAGATTCAAGGGAAAATTCGCAAAATTTAATTTGGTATTTTTTCAAATTTGTTTTTAGCAACCACACTGGTAAGGTTGAGTATCTCCTCCTACACAATATAAAACCAAAATTATATAGAGTCCGTATTGTTGTCATCATAGCAGACACCATGATATAATTTCTTCTCTCCAAGCTATAAAACAAAAAAATTATGTTAAAATTCTTGATGACTTGAGTGGTTTATTATTTTACAGTACTGGGAATCAAAATACCTATTTCACCAATAAATACTTTTTAATCCTGCACACCATTTTGAGAATACAGGTAAAACGTAAAATTAAATGGTAGTGATATTAGGGAGTGGGGTTTTATGGCACGGTTGTTAGCAACAATATGGGATGAAATTTATCTAACAGAAGGAAGTATGTAGGTTTCATATAGAATTATTACATCATTTTTATCATTGTCAACTATTCAATCCAAATCTAACGAAGATTCAATAAAACATGGTGTTTATTCGACTAGACCAGGGGTTCTCAACCTTTTTTCTGCAAAATACCCCCCAGGCACGAAACAATCAACGTGAACCCCCAGTAATGTGACACCGAACAAAGTTGTGATATATCGATTAACAATTTGTTGAAACAACAATTTATTGACCAGATAAAACTAAATTTAATTTCCCTGTTACTAATATTGCCCTAACTAATAAATTCTTGAAATCCCTTTCAAGTTTCAATAAGGATATCACTTTCTCCAGTGCTCGCAGCACGCTGTATTTTCTGTGAATTTCACATTGTTTACGTCACAATCACAACAACGCAAGATCAGGGAAAATCTATGTTTCAATTGGCATCCAGTTCAATCGGCACGCATTTTCCTCTGGTAGTAATAAAGGATATTAAAAACAGCAACACGCAAAAACTCGACTGCCATCCAAGTACCCCCTGAAATCTTTTCGCGAACCCCAGGTTGAGAACCCCTGGACTAAAGACTGCTTGGTCCATCCCTGATTTGTATACATCGCAGATCACTTCATTATCAAAAACTCATTAAGTTAGGAAACAAATGGAATGGGCCAATTTTTATATTCTATTCTGTTTTTACTTATTGTTGCCTATGTCCTGCTATAAAGCTCAGTACAAACAATACGTCAAACTCACATTGAGGTACGTAGAATCTGAATAAATCTTCGAGCAATCATAATACCACACTTGCCAATTCCACGTCATTCTATTGTTTTATGTACGCGATGTTTTGAAGAAGCAAAATCAATAACATGGAAACTGCGACAACTGTTTGCATGTCGTTACGACGTGAGCACCTGAGATTATGTTATTTGTTAAAGCCATACTGAACAATTTTTTATCATGTAATACAATTAATACATATTAGGCATTACATGTATTTCTTTACAATGCTTAGTGATTGAGGCAATATTTAAAAATGAAACCAATAGTGGCAAAAAATTCACATCTTACACTTTTAAGGTGCGTTTACACTGGATGCGTCGCGACGCGTTGCGAAGTGCGCTCGAGATCGCTCTCCATTGTTTCAAGTGACGCCGTTCACACTGAAAGCGCGGCACCTAACGACGACGCGCGGTGCCGTTGCTGATTCTCTCGCTGAGCGTGTTTCGGCGCGACTGACCTTCGAATTCCACGTGCTTTTTTGCGGCGGTGTCGGCTGCTTCCCGTGGGAAGTGGTTTTACATTCTGCTTAGATCAGAAGGTACCGCATTTTATAACTGCAATATCAAATTAGGTACCGTTTATCGTAATTTATAAGTTAAATATCCAAATTAGGTACCGTTATCTAGGTCAGAATAAAATTGATTGCAAGTACTAGTGAAGGATTGTAGTCTTTACTATTTGCTATACCGGTATGAATTCTAACAACAATTGTATTTTGAATTCATTACAAACTTTGTTTCACAGTCATGTCGTTTGAGAGCTTTTAATAAATGAGGTGAAATCTAGACCATGTCTGTATGACATGAGTCGTCACGATTATCGTGATGTTAATATCAAATCCAACAATTGGGCGGAGATAGGAGCATTGCTCCATGTTACTGGTTAGTTACTTTATTTATGGCATTGCTGGATTTATCTTGATGGCAAAATCACGTTGTCTAAAATATTTCAAGTACACCAAATTGAAAATAAAAGCTTGCTTCAACTAACACCACAATCTGATAATGCTATTTAGGACAGCAGGCAAGAGAGAATGGAAGGCCTTGCGAGACAGATTCGTCAAGATGAAAAATAAAAATGAAAGTACCATGAAGTCAGGGGCACCTGGAGGCGTTTCAACGAATAAATGGCATCTATTTGAACACATGACTTTTTTAGATTCCTTCGTGCAGCATCGAAAGTAAGTTATTTTGCATAAAATCGGCACAAGAGTAAATATTGAGCTGCTGTGATATGTTACTATGATGAAAAGTGTGTGCCTATTTCAATGATATATCTATCACATGTTTTGAAATGATCTGTTCAATTTGGTACAAGTTAAATTCTTTATTAATTTGAAGTTATTTCAGGACCTTTTCTATTTCATATTTCAGAACGTCCTCAAATTTAGAACTTGTCACTCTATCAGCTGTGGTAGAAGGGGAAGAAGTGTCTGGGTCATCTTCTGTCGCACCGACACCAAAAAAAAGGAAGGAAGAAGTGAACATGCGGATTTTGAAAATTCTTGAGGAGGAGAAGGATGGTAATTTTTTTAACCTTTTCGAACATCGTTTTTGTTTCATGTTTTATCTACGGTCACACATGATATGGTGTGATCGAGATTAGTTTATTATGTTGTAGAATTAAAGGAGCGTATGCATAGCATGCTCATATAGACAAGACAGCTACCGTATATACTCGCCTATAGGTCGCAACTTTTTACCTATTTTTAAAAAAAAATATAGGTGTGACCTATCCGCTCGACATACAGACGATTTTACAAAAATTTGGATATAGGCCATTTCTACAAATCGTAACACGCCGCACGCATCTATTACAGTTGACCTGGTTCTAACCATATAAAATTATGAGCGTCATTAACATATTTTGATTATATTTTGCCCTACAAAAAAACAAAATAGGAAGATACCTATGCAAAAATCTAGGAAAAGGGCTTTTTAAATCCGTAGATTTTCAGTTTGACTTATGTGCGAGTCAAATCAAAATCAAACTTTTTTAACACAAAACTAATAGTGCGACCTATACGGTGGTGCGACCTATAGGCGAGTATATACGGTATGCTCAAATATTTGGCGAAAAAAAATAATAGCCTTCTGGGGAAAAATTTTATCTTTAACCAATGAAAATTTCAAAACAATTGGTCCAGTAACCAAAGAGAAAAGCGATTTCTTCTGAACGTGTCAAAGAAGAACAAGACTAAGTCTAAGAACAACAAAACGTTCACTATGTCCACTACGTGTCCAATAAACACGTAATGGTATAGAATATTGATACTATATATATTTATTTGTAGATGATCCAGACAAATTCTTCCTTCTTTCACTTCTACCACAGCTGAAAAGACTGTCTCCTGAGCGTGCTTCATCAACAAAGATGAAAATCATGCAATTACTCCATGAGGCTGAATTTGAGAAATGATTCAAATTCAATTTCCCACTTAAAAATTAGAAAATAAATTCAAACGTTTTTTTATCTTAATTACAGTACATTACTAAATTTAATTGACTCCGTACAAACTTGAGCAACCTTCTCTAAACAAGAACTCAATTTTCTAAAAAATTTTAATGTTTTTTATTGTTAGTTTACCTCAACCATTTTATTATTTGTTCAGGCAGTATGCTTTTTCATTCTGGCTATTTCTCATTACAGCTTCATGGAGTATTTGCATGATTTTCATCTTTCTGCTGCTGTTTATTTTCTTTTATCAAGCACAAATTCTTTTTTCAATTACGTTTATTTTCAAATATTCTTTGATGAAAAATTTGGATTATTTTCCAAATTGATTACAGCTTGAAATATTTTAGTGTAGCGTGTCAAATGTAAAATCTCTCATTCAGTAATATGTTTTTTCGATGGTAACCACTAAGCTAGATAAAAGGAACTTTTCATGTCCTTCTGACTCTTTGAAATTGCCAGGGGCAAGCTCCATCAACCATGAAATAATTTTTAAAGCTGTCGCGAACAGCCGCCGCCGCTACACTATTTCTGCGACCTTGCCTTTGCAGGGGCAAAAAACTGTTATCCTCTTGTACCCGCCAACTTCCTCTTGTTATGTTTCCCTCCAGGTCTTCCCTATCCACTTCACCTGCATCTATCAGTGTATGGCGTCTTACATAATTATGCAAACAACATGCTGCCTTCACAACCAACTCTGCGTTTTGTGGCGACACACCCATGGGCCTCCTAAAAACTCTCCACTTCGCACTCATTATACCGAATGCATTTTCTACTACTCGCCTTGCCCTGGATAGCCTGTAGTTGAAAACTTTTTCATCAATTGGCAAATTTCGCCCCGGGTATGGTCTCATCAGGTGCTTCTGTAGTGGGAAGGCTTCATCCCCCACTATCACATAGGGAGCCTTTTTTGAGCTGTTAGTAAGTGTTGTTTCATCCGGCAAATTCAGGGCCCCTTCATTCATGAGCTTACCGAGAGCAGAGTGGGAGAAAACACTTCCATCACTCTGCTTTCCGTAAGCTCCCACATCGACAAAAACAAAATTATAATTGGCGTCGACAAGGGCCATTAGCACAATGCTGAAGGTGTGCTTGTAATTGTAATAAAGGGACCCTGAATTCACCGGTGCTTGAATTTGTATATGTTTCCCATCTATGCTCCCTATGCAATGTGGGAAATTCCACTTTTTCTCATACTCTTCAGCGATTTGCTTCCATTTTGTAACTGTTGGCGGGCTTAAATATTCTTTTTTGAGTGATGTCCAAATTGCCTCACAAGTTTCTGTAACTATTCCTGAAACTGTTGATTTCGATGTCCTATATGAATCTGCTATTGTGGTATAAGAATCCCCTGTTGCTAAAAATCTGAAATATGATATATGTGCACTTTTATTTGATGTTATGTTTATTTTGTTTTTAATAGTTCTATGTGGATGTGTTATAATTTGAATATTTTCTTCCACATACATTTTGCTACATGGTTTGAATATACAGTAATTGCTCACCTTAATGTTATTCCAAGCCTCTCTTCAGGAGATATAGGTTCTCGGAAATTAGTCGTGGTTTTAGTTATGTAAGGAGCCACTAGACTCCTCAGGTCATCAAACATACCAGGGTCCAGGCGGTATTGGTTACGAAATGCAACCGTTCTTTCAAGTCTCATTTCTTGGACAAGTCTATGGTACTCACCTGCGTAGAAAGTATTATTAAATGAAAGATAAATGTTTATTCAACTTCAAGCTCTACCGTCTGTTCAATACACAGGTAGATGAAGAAAACAGTATAAGATAGCCTATGATTAATTAATCTTATATTAGTATTTTGAGGAAAGACCACGCAGTTTCATAGGGCGATGATTTGAACTTACCAAGCTCTTTCCTTCTTTTTAATATGGGATGAACCCAATGTTCCCTTTGCTTTTGCTCCGTATTGTTTGCCAAATAAAGGGCGATTGCCAATCTTTTCCTTTTCGAAAGTGGCATATTTGTAAATTTTGTAGCGGAGTGGGAAGCAGACGAAATTCTAGCTGAATTTCCCGCGTCAATGTTCCTAAGCAACCGCCTCTAGCGCCCTTGAGTGGTGGAGAAATGACGCGCGCTATGTAAACACCTGCCCCGCGCGACCAGAAGCCGCGCCGCGTCGCGACGCATCCAGTGTAAACGCACCTTTATAAAAAAAAGAGTGCTTAATAGGGAACACCATTTGCAAAAAACATCTTGCGAGAACATCTCTTGACAATGAAGTTTTTCCAAATACAGCATAAAAATAGCAAATAGTCAAGAAAAATTGTGAAAGAACTTGCAAATGTTATTTTAGGAAAACAAATGTACAAAATTCAGACTTGACTATTAGACACAATCTTGACTGGAACAAAAAAATTTAACCATGAAGATTGTATTCAGGTCTCATCTGTACAGTTATTGTTACAATGATGTGATCAAGGCAAATAATACCAAATCTTACCATTATACTATTCCATCTATTTTAGTATTTAATCTTTGTAGTGGAATCTCGTTCGGAATATAGTTCTTCTCGGAAAAACTTTTTCGCTTGATTCCTGTTTTCATTATCAATTTAAACAATCCCTGAAAGCAGATCCAATTATGTATGTAGTAGTAATCATCACAAGAATATAATACAAATATGTTATGCATGCTTCAGGTGGATATAAAAATATAAGGAATATTAATAAGTATTTCTAGCTTTGTCACAACCGTAAAACATTGCAGAACAATCTCAAAAACAAATATATACTTAAATCTCCACTCAAACCATTTGAATGACTAACGAATATAAACGTGTGAATCAAAGCTTCCCCCAAAACCAGTCTCAAATGAAAAATCCAGTGCGCCAGCTAATGTTATCTAATAAATAATATACATTGTAATATTAGGCTAAAATGTATAGTCTGATAAGAGTATTACTTATAAATAGTTTGAGTAAGATAAGCTTGAAATATTTTTCCCAACCTGGTAAATGTAAACTACAAATTAGCTTTCATATTCATAATCTATGATCAAATTGATATGATACCAGCTTCTTACAGCCTAATTCTTGTATACATTCCTCAGTTATCGTATAGTATCTGTTTCACTGCGATCATTACTCATATCAGCATATATTCTGAACAAAAAACATTAATTCCCCAAAAATTGAAACAAATCTTATGGTACTATTGTTGTAAAGTAACTTAACCATCATTACAAACCTGTTATATGAAATAAAAACTATGACTATTCCACTTCCGACAACATTCAGACATTGCGTCCCCGAATCACCTCGCTGTATGAATCCACTTTTTAAACTGCACTTCCCGGCAACAAATTTCAAAGTATTTACTTTTCAGACAGTCAAACATGATTTCATACTATTATGGTTACCTGCAACTTGAAGATCTTTACTAACCTGTTGAAAACCATGAAAAAAAAATACAAAATCATCTCCATAACAGAAATCAAGTATGGCTCCATATACAGATATACCATGTTTCCCCAAAATAAGACTGGGTCTCATTTCAATTTTCTTCCGAAAAATAACACTAGGGCTTATTTTCGGGGATATCTTATATTTTTATTTATTAAAAACAAACTTAAAAAGTAGAGAATTACGAGATTTTCAAATATACAAACTATGAACCTATATATATTATAACCTATATATGAACCTCGGTTAAATGTGATTCAAGCGAATTCTTTTCACTAATAAGGTTTGCCTGTACCTTCAAGATCATCACTAACCTGTTAAACACACAAAAAATAAGACTAATCCACACCTCATAACAGAATTTGAGTGTGGCTCCATATTACTGAACTGCTCAAGTCTGTGGCTCCATTTTCTATCCTGTATTTCCAGGCAATAAATTCTCGGTAAAATGCGATTCAAGCATATTCTTTTCACTAATAAGGTTTGTCTGTACCTTCAAGATCATCACTAACCTGTTAAGCACACAAAAAATAAGACTAATCCACTTCTCAAACGAATTTGAGTGTGGCTCCATATTACTGAACTGCTCTAGTCTGTGGCTCCATTTTCTATCCTGTATTTCCAGGCAATAAATTCTCGGTTAAATGTGATTCAAGCGTATTCTTTTCACTAATTAGGTTTGCCTGTACCTTCAAGATCATCACTAACCTGTTAAACACACAAAAAATAAGACTAATCCACTTCAAAACGAATTTGAGTGTGGCTCCATATTACTGAACTGCTCTAGTCTGTGGCTCCATTTTCTATCCTGTATTTCCAGGCAATAAATTCTCGGTTAAATGTGATTCAAGCGTATTCTTTTCACTAATAAGGTTTGCCTGTACCTTCAAGATCATTACTAACCTGTTAAACACACAAAAAATAAGACTAATCCACTTCTCAAAACGAATTTGAGTGTGGCTCTATATTACTGAACTGCTCTAGTCTGTGGCTCCATTTTCTATCCTGTATTTCCAGGCAATAAATTCTCGGTTAAATGTGATTCAAGCGTATTCTTTTCACTAATTAGGTTTGCCTGTACCTTCAAGATCATCACTAACCTGTTAAACACACAAAAAATAAGACTAATCCACTTCTCAAAACGAATTTGAGTGTGGCTCTATATTACTGAACTGCTCTAGTCTGTGGCTCCATTTTCTATCCTGTATTTCCAGGCAGTAAATTCTCGGTTAAATGTGATTCAAGCGTATTCTTTTCACTAATTAGGTTTGCCTGTACCTTCAAGATCATCACTAACCTGTTAAACACACAAAAAATAAGACTAATCCACACTCAACGAATTTGAGTGTGGCTCCATATTACTGAACTGCTCAAGTCTGTGGCTCCATTTTCTATCCTGTATTTCCAGGCATAAATTCTCGGTTAAATGTGATTCAAGCGTATTCTTTTCACTAATAGGTTTGCCTGTACCTTCAAGATCATCACTAACCTGTTAAACACACAAAAATAAGACTAATCCACTTCTCAAAACGAATTTGAGTGTGGCTCCATAATACTGAACTGCTCAAGT